GATGGCTGGTTTTTTTCTTTTTACCTCTAGAGCAAAGCACAGGGCGGCAGACGCCACCGCAGCGGGGCCAGGTTTGGAAGACGCCTCGGGGATACATAGTTGTGACCTGGACTCAGAAGGTGGCCGCGACGGAAAGACAGGCAGCCGTGGGAAACGTTCTGCAGACGGACCCTCTCCCATAGGATGGCCCCGAGGAGGAGGAGGGCGGGGTCGCGGTCCGGGGGACCGGCAGGGTCGCCGTCTGATCTGGCAGGACAGTGCACGCATGCCTGTGGGCCATACGCAGAGAGAGCCGCGGGCGCCGTTTGAACAAGTCTTGCTCTGGAGGGAGATTTTTTTTTTTCCTACAAAGAAAAGGAAAAGGGACGTGAGATTTTAACCCGAAACGAAGCAACTAGAAAGATGGGAAAGACAAGCAAGACTGAAAAACTCAACTAAGTAAGGGATATAATGAATAGATTATTTATTATAATCATAATCAAACATTTCAGTCTTTTGCTAATAAAAGACGGCAAAATAAGTCCAGAAAACTAGATGAGGGGAACCAAAAAATATTAGAGTATGTCATCGTCACTCAGCACACATTTAAATATGGCACTGCCTAGCTGTGTCTGGTAGATCCCCAAGTCCTTACAGACACAGAAAGGTATTGGGGAACAGTGGCCTGTCTTCGTTTCCACTTCGAATATATACACACGTAAATACACCTACACTGTACCTCATTTCTTTCGGTAACTTCATGAAGGTCAAGGCAATATTTTCCTCTTTTCTCCCCTTTCCCGGTCACATTTGTAGGGGTGCAGACAGTGACATGCCCTCGCCCCGGGCAGGCAAGTGGGAAAACAAGCTTCAACACGACGGGCTCGGTCGGCTGGGTCCGCCGGGTGGGCGTCGTCCTGCGCCCCGAAGGCTGGAGGTCCGCTCCCCGGTCAGGGCACGTACCTAGGCTTCATGGGTCTCAGGTTTGGTGTCTGGTCTGGGCGTGTACGAAGGGAGGCAACCAGTGGATACTTCTCTCTCACACAGACGCCTCTCTTTCCCTCTCCCCACCCTCTTTTTCAAAGCAATAAATATGTTTTAAAAACGAAAACAAAAGCCCTGACTGCTAGTTCAGGATCCTCTCTTCTTTCTCACCATCAAAGCCCATTGGGACAAAGCTCTGCTGGAAGATCTAGGTGTTTGTGCTGCTACGTGTATCCCTTAATAATAGATCCATCTAGAAAGTTCACCTAGCGTCACAGTGAATTTAGTTTTATTATATATTTCTAGGTCTTTCATTTCCTTGGTTAAAAACATTGCTTTCTTGCGACATTGTACGTAAGCTGCCCAAATCAATGAACGCAGATGCTGTTCCGTGCCTTTAAAAAGGAGCAGCTGGTCCCTGCACCTGAGCTCTGGCCCCATGTCAGTGGCACGGTGTTTACGGACAGGGCTGTCTTTCCGGCCAGGGCGGGAGCGACCGCCTCTGACCGCAGAGCACGAGGCTGGCACAGAGCCGGGTCATCCGCGTGTCGGGCTTCCTGGCACCAAACACCAGGCCCAGACAGGGAGGCGGGGAACGGGCTGCCGTGGTCCGAGGCTGGGGCTCACGGGAAGGACATTGCAGTAGCAAAACCGAGTCGCTGCCGGTCCCCAGCTGGTGGGTGTCGAGCCCAGGCCGGAACCCAGCTCTTGGCCCTTCCGCTCCGAGACCAGCGAGCGTGGCGCTTCGAGGCGGCATGGGCGTGAGGCTTCAGGGAATAAGGTTCTGTTGAGGACTCGCAGGGATGCCTCGTGCCAAGCTCCGATCACTGCTCTGCAAGTGTTTTCAAGGCGCCTGTGAGGCGGACTCCCCTCCCCGCGCCTTACCAACCAAGACACGCGAACTAAGCCCGGAGCAACCCTGGACCGGTCCACGTTTCACGGGACGTGGCTCTAGCTCCAGCCTGACTTCAGAGTCCCTGGCCTGCCTTTCAGCTTCTGAGTATCTTAAATTCATCGCATTCTTCCTTTATTTTAGGAAACAAGCTCTCTGGTGCGCAGCTGAGGTCAGAGGCCCCGCCTGCCCTCTGCGACTGGCGCTCCCCATCCGGCTGTCTCTCCTCGCCGCTGCCCTCCCCACATCTTAAAAAAAGTACCCCACCCAAAAAGAAACTAAATAAATAAAAGCTTTAGCTTCAAGCTGACTGGAGGAGAGGTGTTGGTGTGCTTTTCATATGCTAAACAAATTCAAGAACTCATTTTAAAGGCTATTTTGCCCCAAGGATACTCAGGAAGTGTTAAAAGGCTTAAGAAAATAAAACCTGAAGATTTAAGCTGAGACTTAAAAACATAGTAAGTCTTTCCAACTTACTGCATCCCTTATGATATTGAGAATGCTGGCTGTCAAATATTTCCTTACTGATTTAAGGATTGAAACTTTTAACATTGAGGTATTTATCCAAAAGAGAGATCACCATCCTCAATAATACTTTCAGATGAGAATTTAACCATTATTTTTCAATAATCATAATGCAACCTATAGGTAAGCAAATAACAGTATGTGTTACCTTCTATGTAGTTAAAAAAAAAATAACTAAGATATTTACCTCCCCCTCCCCCTAAAGAAAAAATAAATCCTAACAATCACTCTATCCCTTCCATCAAGGCAGGGCAATTAAAGTTTAAAAAATATGTACTTTATTGATTTCCTTAAAACTAAATGTGAGCCTCTATTCTTCTTACCATGAAACAAAATACTGAACTCTGCCCTTCGGGCATCTGACTGTCCTTCAAACGCTGCTCCTATTTATCGCTGTTTGTGAGTCAGACGGAGCTGGGCTTCAAGAAAAAGGGGAGAGGAAAGGCCGCGAGCCACTTGGGAAGCAGCCGGGGTGGGGTGGGCGGTGGTTCTGGGCAGAACACCCCAGAGCAAAAACGCCTGGGGGAGACCCCCTGGCTTTCATCTGATCCTCATCAATCAAAACACACAAGGAGACTCTGAAGTGTGGCGGATAAAGAACGTCTTCTGACGGGATGTTCTGGCTCACGCAGCCTCTTCCTGGTTGTTTTGCTTGTGAAAAGGCAAGAACGGATTTTTCCCTGGTCACTGCAATGTGAGTTCTGTGTGCAACAGGAACTAAGCCTAATAAATTATAAAACAGCGATGCCAAAGCCAACGGGAAACTGGGGACGTTAGACGGGGACTCTCGCGTATGTTGAAAGTACTGGCCACAAACCTTCTATGTTCCCAAATGTCCATTTTTGTGCTAAATTGTGAAATGTGTCCCTCACTTGTAAGGGGAGTTAAAAGCTTCTGCAAAGTACAAAATATGTAGGATAAACTCAGTATAATTCAATGAACTCAATGTTATTTGTTTGGATGAGTGCTTATTTTTTTAAACGTCTCTCTCTCCCTCCCTCGCACCCCCTCCCTTTCTCTCTCTCTCGGAAAAATTTCAGAACTTTCCATCTCGACTCCCAGGGCGCACACGGCTTCCTGGCGCAGACTCGAACCCCTCCCATTTAGACCAAAATGTAAAGGGGCACAACAGTTCCTTACGCTCCTTTCTTTCCCATGGTTCAGATTTGGAAAATATCTTTCATCAGGAAAAAGGAAGGGATGGCCACTATTTTGATTCTGTACTCCGATTAACCATCCGACCATTACTTGTGGAGAGACAAGAACATTCTCCACAATGAAACACTCTGGCTATTATTATTATTATTATTCTAAGTCAGGCTGCTCGAAGAGCTAATCTGAAAATGGCTGAGTTTTCCTTGTGAGCATCCGGGGGGCCGAGCGGAGGAGGCAGGCAGAAAACTGCCCGGGCAAGAGCCCGCGCGCGTCCGGAGCCCGGCAGACGCAGCGGGGCAGGGGGCGCTCGAGCTCCGGCTTCCACACCGGCGGGCGCCGGCGGAGCGCACCTACTGCAGGTCGCCCTCCGGGTGTTTGTCGACTCTCGGGCGTGCCAAGAACCGGGGCGCTGACAGGCGGGCTGAGCCTGCACTCGGTCTAATTGTGGCGAAGACAGCCGGGACGCCGCTCCCGACAGCCACAGCAGCGCCGGCTTTGGGAGAGCCCGGGGCTGCGTTCCCTGACACGTCCCCGCAGGCAGGCTGCCTTTCTCGCGCGCTCCGCGTCCTCTCTGACTTGCACTCCGGGAGCTCCGTTTGCAGAGGAGGCGCTTGCTGAAAGCTCGCCAACTCAAGCACTGGGTCTATTTTAACTTACGCGCAGACCGCAGCGGGGCATGGAGGTAGGGAGGGGGCTCGGTCTGCTTTGGCTTTTATGTTCAGGTGCCCTTCTTTTGCAGATATGCTGCAGAGTGTCCCCCCAAACCGCAGACTGCTCTGGGTTTCGGCTGGAGCCCCAGGGGCGTGGCACAGAACTTTGCTCTCGGGTCTGCCAGCTTCGGGGAGAAAGGACCACCCCTGCGCCGGATTCCCCTGCGTGTGGGGGTGGGAGCTAAGGTGGGCGATCCGGGGCTGCAGGCAGCTGGAGAGGTGGATCCCGCCCAGCGGGCGGCCCAGGCGGAGCGCGAGGCAAGGTGGGCGGGCTGCCCCGGGCCGCCCTTCCCCTAGCTCGCGGGGCAACCGGGGGAGTCGTCTCTCAGCCGCCCTGCCCGCTCTGGCCCCGCCTCCGGCCGCAGCAGCTGATTGGCAGGAATCGCTGTCCAACGCGCGGCGCGGGGCCTCCTCCCCAGACCGGCGATTGGCTGCCTCGGAGTAAGGGGGTGCCAGGGGAGGGATTTCCCTCAAAGCTCAGGCTCCGTCTCGAGCCCCGGGGAGGAGGAGTGGAGCGGCTCGGTTCGCGCCAGGGAGCCGCGCGAGGCCGGGAGGGCCCGTCGTCCTCCCGGCGAGGTCCAGTCCCGCCCGGCCGCGCGCCTGGCCCGTCCTTCGGGCCCCGCCTCGGCCGCAGCAGGTCCCCGCAGGCTGCGCACGGAGCCCTGGCACTTTTTTCCGGAGGGGGTCTGTTGCTGCCTCCCGGGGACTGACCGCGCGCTCCCGGGCTTACCTGTCCGAGCAGCAACACCTGCACCATGCACGCCCCCGGGACTCCCGGGGGCGCCTCCCGCGCGCGCCGGGGTGCCAGCCCCGCCCGTTTGCAGCCGGTGCCCCCGCCCCCGCCGCCGCCCCGGCGGGTGCTGCTGCTGCCGCTGCTCCTGTCACTGGTAAGCCGCGCCCCGGCACAGCCCGGTGCCCCCGGCCAAGCGTCGCTGTCCTCGGATCTCCCGGGGGTGGCCGGGGTCCCCGCCGAGGAGGCTATAGTAATGGCGAACCGCGGACTCCGGGTGCCCTTCGGCCGCGAGGTCTGGCTGGACCCCCTGCACGACCTAGTGCTGCAAGTGCAGCCGGGGGACCGCTGCGCGGTGACCGTGCTGGACAACGACGCTCTGGCCCAGCGGCCCGGCCGCCTGCATCCCAAGCGCTTCCCGTGCGACTTCGGCCCTCGGGAGGTGAGCTACTCGCACCTGGGCGCGCGCAGCCCGTCGCGAGACCGCGTCCCGCTGCAGCTGCGCTACGACGCGCGCGGAGGGACGGCGGTGCTGCCGCTGGTGCTGGAGGTGGAGGTGGTCTTCTCGCAGCTGGAGGTGGTGACTCGGAACTTGCCCCTGGTCGTGGAGCAGCTCCTGGGCACCAGCAACGCCCTGGACGCGCGGAGCCTGGAGTTCGCCTACCAGCCCGAGACGGAGGAGTGTCGCGTGGGCGTGCTGTCCGGTGTGGGGACGCTGCCCCGCTACGGGGAGCTGCTGCACTACCCGCAGGGCGCAGGGCCCGCCCGCGAGGGGGGCGCGCGGGAGCCCCTCCTGATGGACTGCCGAGCTTTCCAGGAGCTAGGCGTGCGCTACCGCCACACGGCGCCCAGCCGCTCCCCGAACCGAGACTGGGTGCCTATGGTGGTGGAGCTGCGCGCGCGAGGCGCCCCCGCAGGCAGCCCGGCTTTGAAGCGAGAGCACTTCCAGGTGCTGGTGAGGATCCGCGGAGGGGCCGAGAACACGGCGCCCAAGCCCAGCTTCGTGGCCATGATGATGATGGAGGTGGCTCAGTTTGTCCTGACCGCGCTGACCCCAGACATGCTGGCGGCCGAGGACGCCGAGTCGCCGCCGGACCTGCTGATCTTCAACGTCACCTCGGCGCTCCAGCCCGGCCAGGGCTACCTGGTGAGCACCGACGACCGCAGCCTGCCCCTCTCCTCCTTCACCCAGAGGGACCTGCGCCTCCTGAAGATCGCCTACCAGCCGCCCTCCGAGGACTCCGACCAGGAGCGGGTCTTCGAGTTTGAGCTGGAGGTGGTGGACCCCGAAGGGGCCGCCTCGGATCCCTTCGCCTTCATGGTGGTGGTGAAGCCCATGAACACGCTGGCGCCCGTGGTCACCCGCAACACGGGCCTCGTGCTCTACGAAGGCCAGTCCCGGCCGCTCACCGGGCCCGCGGGCAGCGGGCCGCAGAACTTGGTCGTCAGCGACGAGGACGACCTGGAGGCCGTGCAGCTGGAGGTGGTGGCCGGGCTCCGGCACGGGCACCTCGCCCTGCTGGGCGGCGCCAGCGACAGCGCTGCGCCCAAGGCCTTCACGGCGGCCCAGCTCGCGGCGGGGCAGGTCGTCTACCACCACGACGGCAAGGACGGCTCCCTGAGCGACAACCTGGTGCTGCGGATGGCGGACGGCGGGCGCAGGCACGAGGTGCAGTTCCTGTTCCCCATCACCTTGGTGCCGGTGGACGACCAGCCGCCGGTCCTCAACGCCAACACGGGGCTGACGCTGGCGGAGGGCGAGACCACGCCTGTGCGGCGCGCGGCGCTGAGCGCCACCGACGCGGACTCCGACGACGCTCTGCTGCTCTTCGTGCTGGAGTCGCCGCCCGCCGCGGGGCAGCTGATCCTGCGCCAGACGCAGCCTCCGCGCGAGGCCGAGCCGCTCACCGGGAGCCCTTGGAGGAAACGGGGCGCCTTCTACGAGGCGACGGTGACGGAGTGGCGTCAGCAGGACATCGCCGAGGGGAGGCTGTTCTACGCGCACGCGGGGCCCCACAGTCCCGGGCCGGTGACGGATCAGTTCACGTTTCGGGTGCAGGACAACCACGACCCCCCCAACCGCTCGGGGCTGCAGAGGTTCGTGATCCGAGTTCATCCCGTGGACCGGCTGCCGCCGGAGCTGGGCAGCGGCTGCCCCCTGCGGATGGTGGTGCAGGAGTCCAAGCTCACGCCTCTGCGGAAGAAGTGGCTGCGCTACACCGACCTGGACACCGACGACCGGGAGCTGCGCTACACGGTGACTCAGCCTCCCACGGACACGGACGAAAACCGCCCCCCGGCCCCGTTAGGCGCCCTGGTCCTGACCGACAGCCCTTCCGTCGTGGTGACCCGTTTCACCCAAGCCCAGATCAACCACCATAAAATCGCCTACCGGCCCCCAGAGCAGGAGCTGGGAGTGGCCGCCCGCGTGGCCCAGTTCCAGTTCCGGGTGGAGGACCGCGCGGGGAACGCGGCCCCGGGCACCTTCACGCTCTACCTGCAGCCCGAGGACAACCAGCCCCCGGAGGTCCTCAACACCGGCTTCGCCACCGTGGAGGGCGGCCGCCACGTCCTGAGCGAGTCCGAGCTGCGTGTGGCGGACGCGGACACTGAGGTGGCCCGCATCACGTTCACGCTCACCCAGGCGCCCCGGCACGGCCACCTGCGCGCGGCCGGGCAGGTCCTGCCGGCCGGCGGGACTTTCCGCCTGGAGGACATCCAGCAGGGGCGCATCTCCTACGAGCACCACGGGGACGGGTCGCTGGCCGACAGCTGCTCCCTGGAGGTCAGCGACAGACACCACGTGGTGCCCATCACCCTCAGGGTGACAATCCGGCCCCGGGACGACGAGGCGCCCGTGCCGAGCCTTCCTGCGGGCACCCTGGGGTCGTACCTGGACGTGCTGGAGAACGGGGTGACGGAAATCACTGCCGGCGTGATCCGGGGCACCGAGGCGGGCGCGGAGGACCTGATGCTGACGTTCCTCTTGGAAGACCCGCCCGTCCACGGGGAGATCCTGGTCAGCGGCGCCCCGGCCGAGCAGTTCACCCAGCGGGACATCCTGGACGGCTCTGTCGTCTACGCCCACACCAGCGGCGAGATAGGCCTGTTGCCGAAAGAGGACTCTTTTAACCTGAGTCTGTCAGGCACGTCCCACGAATGGAGAGTCAGCGGCAGTTCGATCCAAAGAGTGACCGTGTGGGTGACCATCCTTCCTATCGACAGCCAGGCCCCGGAAATTTCTCTGGGCGAACAGTTTATAGTGACGGAAGGCGACAAAAGCGTCATCACCTCGCGGCACGTAAGTGCGAATGACGTGGATTCCCTGAACGACGACATCCTGTGCACGATCGTTGTCCAGCCCACGTCCGGCTACGTGGAGAACATCTCCCCCGCCCCAGGCTCCGAGAAGTCGAGAGCAGGCGTCGCCGTGAGCGCCTTCACCCTCAAAGATGTCGGGCAGGGCCACATCAACTACGTCCAGAGCGTCCACAAAGGCGTGGAGCCTGTGGAAGACAGGTTCATGTTCCGTTGCTCGGACGGCATTAACTTCTCAGACAGGCATTTTTTCCCCATTGTGGTCGTCCCCGCCAACGACGAGCCGCCGGAGCTGTTCATGAGAGAGTTCGTGGTGATGGAAGGCATGAGCGTGGTCATCGACACGCCCATCCTCAATGCGGCCGATGCTGACGTGCCCCGAGACGAGCTGACGTTCACGCTCACCCAGCTCCCGGCGCACGGCCATGTCCTGAACCAGCTCATCAACGGCACGGTGCTGGTGGAGAGCTTCACCTTGGACCAGATCGCGGACAGTTCCAGCATCATCTACGAGCATGACGACTCCGAGACCCAGGAAGACAGCTTCGTGATTCGACTAAGCGACGGGAAGCACACCGTGGAGAAGACGGTTCTCATCATGGTCATTCCCGTGGACGACGAGACCCCTAGGATGGCCATTAACAATGGGCTGGAGATCGAAATTGGGGAGACCAAAAGTGTGAACAACAAAATATTAATGGCGACCGATCTAGATTCTGAAGACCGGGCCTTGGTGTACATCATCCGCTACGGGCCGGAGCATGGCGTATTACAGAGACAAACACCTTCCGGTGCCTTTGAAAATATCACCCTGGGCATGAATTTCACCCAGGAGGACGTGGACAGAAACCTACTTCAATACGTCCACTCCGGGCGGGAGAGCGCGCGGGACCTGATTAAATTCGACGTGACCGATGGAACCAACGCCCTCATCGACCGCTACTTTTACGTCTCCGTTGGGAGCGTGGACGTCGTCTTCCCCGATGTCATCAGTAAGGGGGTGTCCTTGAGGGAAGGCGGGAAGGTCACCCTCACCACAGACCTACTAAGCACCAGTGACTTGAACAGTCCTGACGAAAACCTGGTTTTTACCATCACCAGGGCTCCCGTGAGGGGCCTCTTAGGGTGCACAGATCATCCGGGGGTGCCCATCACGTCGTTCACTCAGCTCCAGCTGGCGGGCAACAAAATCTACTACGTCCACACAGCCGACGACGAGGTGACGATGGACAGCTTTGAGTTTCAGGTCACCGACGGGCGTAACCCTGTCTTCCGGACCTTCCGTATCGCCATCAGCGATGTGGACAACAAAAAGCCGGTGGTCACCATCCACGACCTGGTTGTCAGCGAAGGGGAACACAAGCTGATCACTCCCTTCGAGCTCACTGTGGAAGACAGAGACACCCCCGACCGGCTGCTGAGGTTCGTTGTTGCCCAGAGGCCCATTCACGGCCAGCTCCTCCTCAACAACAGCGGCCCCGCTGCGGTTTTTACCAAGCAAGACCTCAACGACAACTTAATCAGCTACAGGCACGACGGCAGCGAGTCGAGGGAAGACAGCTTCTCCTTCACGGTGACCGACGGGTCCCACGTAGACTTCTACGTCTTCCCGGACACCGTGTTCGAAACAAGGAAGCCCCAGGTCATGAAGATCCAGGTCTTAGCTGTCGACAACAGTGTCCCCCAAATTGCCGTGAACAAAGGGGCCTCTACACTCCGCACTCTGGCTACCGGCCACTTGGGATTCATGATCACAAACAAAATCCTGAAGGCGGAGGACAGGGACAGCCCGCATTCTTCTCTGCGGTTCATCGTGACGGAGGCCCCTCGGCACGGCCACCTCCTGCACCTGGGCCAGGGCAACCACAGCATCTCTGCGTTCACACAAGGTATGGCTCGCGTCCCTTTCTCTGTGACCAGCAGGCAGTCCGGGTCTTGTTTCCTGGGGATGTGGCTGTCCCAGAAAACTTGAGGAAGGAGGTCTCACTTCAAGCCCAAAGAAGGGGCGGGCGGGGGGAAAGGGGTCGGGGGAGAATCCAGAGACTCTCTTTCCTGGGAGAGCCGCTCCTTTCTTGCCGCATGTCCCGCTGCGGTGGCCTTCACCGGAGACCGTCGACGTGTTTTGGCAGCGGGAGGCAGGCTTTGGCGAACGAATGTCTAGGCGGCTTTCCAGGCCGGCTCCGTGCGTCCTCGGAGCGGCCTGCTTTGTGCAGGAAGCTCGTGACGCGGTTCAGCCCCGCAGAGAGACGCGCTGTCTAAAGAAACCCTGTGAATTCCCCGTACGATTCTGATTATTATCGAACATCTTTCCAGTCGAGCCTCCAAGCTTATATCACTTTAATTTTTGAGAGCATTTTTCTAGTACTGGTTTCGTTGGTAGAAGCTTGGTAACTAAAAGGAAAAAGATGTACGTTGCAGATTTTATCATTTTTTTATATTTCGCGACCAACACCTGTCCTAAGACAGAAGGAGTAAATCCCTATCTAGATTTATAAAAATTAGGTGTACAGGGTGTGTTAACGATGAAACATGGAGAACCAGGGAGCGTGCGGAGACGGGACGTGCGAGAAGAGCGAATGCCTGAGGCCACGGCTCGTCTCCGCCTCGGTCCTGAGAGCCCGGAGGCCTGTTAGTACAGCGGGCAGCGTACGGAGGGGGTGATTTCACTCCGAAACCCCGCTCCGCCCTGCTTCCAGCGCAGTCACCAACGCCGGTCGCAGCGGCCACCGTCTGCCTTCTCGAGGTGGCGGCGTCTTTCTGAGCGGAGTGTTTTGTCTGCGGTCCTGGCCCGAGCGGGGAGGGTGGGGGGCGGGGGCCGGGGGCCTCTGCACAGCCCACCCGTGCACCGGCGTGGGAGCCGGGGCCCTGCTCTCTAGAACGTGCAACTTGCACGACAAAGGGCTGTGGAGGGCTTTCCCGGAAATCCCACCACGTCGGGATGGAAACGGGGTCCGCCCTCTGCGGGATCGGTGGGCAGAGGCGCAGGGCGGCCTCGGGGGGTTCTGTCCCCGCAGTGTGTTCAGCTCCCAGATAAGCAAAGCTCTAGGACCCTGGGGCGTCACAAAGCGCAGGGTTGGCCTGAGCGGCCCCTCCGTGCTAGGGCCTGGCAGCCAGCCCCACACGGGACTCTTGGCCGGAAGCCAGCGTGTGTCCCAGGGCCTGCGGGGACAGGAAAGCACCGAGGGCCGATGTCACGGCAGACCAGCAGGACCCTTTTGTGGGAAGGCTTTCTGAGGACAGAGATGCAATCCCAGATTGGCGTCTTTTCATGGCAAGTGGAGACGGGGAGAGGAAGCCGGGGGCGGGGGGGTGGAGCGGGGGGAGCGAAGGTGGCTCTCGGTACCCGCTTCCGCCTTCAGTTAAATTACCAGCCATCGCGACCGAAGAGATAAGTCATAAGTAAGGAGGCAGCCCTGGCGGGTGCGGCTCAGTGGACTGCGCCTGTGAACCACAGGGTCGCCGGTTCGATTCCCAGTCGGGCACAGGCCTGGGCTGTGGGCCAGGTCCCCAGCCGGGGGTGCACGAGAGGCAACCACACTTAGATATTTCTCTCCCTCTCTTTCTCCCTCCCTTCCTCTCTGTGTAAAAATAAATAAATAAAATCTTAAAAGAAAATAAGGATGTGAAAGATCGGCAATAAGAAGGCAAGTAATACAATATTTAATAAATAAATAACAGTATAACGATGATCCCTGTGTTTTGCCCACTCACAACTATAAAGTTCCTCTTGCCCCCTACCGCCCCCATACACAGGAGGGTGTAGAAAATGGTATTTTTAAATCACATCTCTGGCCAGAAAAAGGGTGCCAACATTCGGGATTTCTGAAGGGGGTTCCCGGGTGGAGCCCGGCCAGTGCGCTGCCTCGTGGCCACCGTTGCTCTGTGGGTCTTCCGTGGACTCGCCGCGACTGCCTTCTCTGGCGATTTGTACATGAAGAGGAACGAACGGCAGGTTGGTTGTTAAAAAAGGGAAGGCACATTTTTCAGATTTCTTTTTTGAAATAAATTGTCGCATTCCAAAGGGAACCCAGATAATGACTAGGGCAACCGCTGGCGTCACTCACAGCGCGTTCATTCCAACGCGCAGCGGCCGCGGCCCGGCCCCCGCAGCCTGCCACCTGCGGGGCGGCGACAGAGGAGCAGATGCGGGCAGGCGAGGCTCGGTGCAGAACAGCCATCGCCGTCCGGCCGGCCCCTCTCCCCCGCCCCGGCCTGCCGCCCGCGGGGGAAGGGCAGGTGGTGCTCCGGGTGGGGGCCGTGCTGCCTGTGTGTTTTTGCCTCATTGTCGCAGGAGGAGCTGAACCACGTTTTAATGCATTTTCAAGGCACTGGGCTCCGTTAACTCAGCACACGTGGCCTGAGGTTATTTCTAAACTAATTGACTAAACGACTGATAGAAAAAAATGAATCCATTTCTAAAACGTATTAAATGTCATTAGTAGGGAGCGTTCACAAGGTAGAATTGGACAGATGAGGGGAGCTACTTAGTTCAGCCTTGACCTCGCTGCCAAGCCGCCTGCTCCCCCGGCTCCAGGTCTCTGTCCTTCATCTAAAGCACCTGGACCGTTTTCCCTGTGGAAGGTCATTTATAAAACACTTTCAGAAATGCCCTCAGGGTTTGAAGCAGGGTGTGGTCTCAGGCATGTGAATGGACTTCGAATTCTTTTGTTTTAAACCCACAGAATGAACGGTTGTGCAGACATACGAAACTATAGTTGATGCACATTTAACATTTAGGAAAAAAGTCTCATTGTTAGATATTTACGTAAACAAGGAGACATTTTGGCTGCTAGGTTTTTACTTTTTCTTATACTTCTGTGCCTTAAGAAATGAGTGTGTGTGTGTGTGTGTCTGTGTGTGTACATATAATTTATAATGTTTGTGTTAATTTTAGAGGTACCTGTAGAATAAGCGTCATGATCAAAGTCTCTACTTTCTAGAGGTTTTGTAAAGTCCCCTTATTGAACTATGGCTTATTAACAGAATTATAAAGAAAATGAGGAGGGTTTGTTCCCACTAATCGTGGCTGCAGGCCCTACCTTAGCAGGAGAATTGACACCCGGGTGTGAAATAACTGCATTCATCTTCTCTTTTCTTCAAAAATGTTCTTGAAAATCATTTTCGGAGTCGTGATTTATTTCAATGCAACTATCTCCTAAGTCTTTTCAAAAAAGACTTCCTTCGGAGATCGAGCATCCTAAACAGTTTTTTATCCTTTTCTTATTAATAGGGCTTTGATATTTCCTTCTAAAATTAAAGAAGGAGCGGCGATGTGGGGCAAAGGTCTTCCCCACGCGACCGGAGACCGTGGTCCTTACGCCAGGGCTGTGGGGTCAGGGGACAGGTCCCTCCGTTTCTTACTGATAAACTGAGGCTGTAAAACGAGGCGTCGCAGGAGCAAACAGGTGGAGGCCGGGGCAGGCCTTCGCTCCGCGTCCTTTGGAAGCATCGCACGCAGGCCTCTGGGCACTTTTATTACTACTCTATAAAAGAGACCAAAAAAGTTCAGGAATATTTGAGCCTCTGCAGAATATTAGACCCCGAGCAAAGGCCTATGGGAAGATGGGGAAAAAATAGTCCCGAAATCGTCAGTCTTCTAGGAAAGGGAGCCCAGCAGAGGGCTAGGAAGGCGGCGGGGCCGGCGCAGGGGAGGTCGCAGCGCAGCTGGAAAGGGACCGCTGAGGGCGGACAAGGCACCTTGGGCTCGCCTCCCCTGCAGGCGCCTCTGTTAGCGAGAAGGTGCCCCCCCCCGTCCAGCCGCACAGCCCCTCCTCGGGCGTCTGGCTGTCCGCAAGCCGCCCTCACACCTGTGCGAGCCGGACGACGCGCGCACTTCACCCCGTGGGCTAGTTTGTGGATTCCAGAGCCTTGTATGATGTGAGACTCTCCTTTGTCAAGTCACTTTCTTACATGTAATGCCTTTCGGCTTCATAGCAGGAACTTAGTACCGTCGTCAGAGCTTAGGACCTTAGCTCTTCAGGGATGCAAAAACCCTAGCGCACACAGGAGACAAAGCACAGCCACACGGCCTGGCCAAAGCCAGCTGAGCTCCGATCGCGGTCTTGCACCGCCTTGGAAATAGCTCCTCGCTGTGCTTGGCGCAGATCAGGTGACAGCTATTTTGAGTGTCGCAGAGCCGAGTGGTTGCCTTCTCTGTTGCCATTGTGGTGTCATTAAGGAGAAGAACTGGTAAAGTGGACGAATCCCGTTTTTACACGGGCACGTTAGCCAGCGACAGGAACAAACTGCGCCACAGCGCGCCGCGGCTAAAATCGGAAGCCACGGAGAGGGCCCTTCTGAGAGAGTGTCTGTCCCTTCTCCCCGCGAGGACAGGTTTTAGCTGCCAGTAGATGTTTTAGTCTCTGTTCCCTCTGACATTCATTCAGGACAGCCGTTCCAGTGGGTTTTGTTTTTTTCTGATTTTTTTTTCTCTTTCATAATTTGGGCTGCTTAAAAACAGCCGCTATACTACAAGTGGTGAGCAAGTGAGCAGGGGGCCGGGGCCGGGGCCGGGGGTGGGCAGGGCGTCTGCTCACTCCGGGGGCCGGTCCTGCAGGGCGACCTTGGGCGCGGCTCCTGCAGAAGCCAGGAAACCTTCCAAGCCCCGGAATTCCTCGCCTTCCAGCTGTCGCAGAGCTGCCGTCCCATATTTAGGCGACCGCTGCTCTGGCGCCAGAACATGCACCTGCCCCTGTGCAGAGGGCCAGCACCAGACTATTATTATAACCCGGTCCTCGCCCTCCGTGCACGGGCGGCATCAGGTTTCTCCGGGAAAGCGGAAACCGAGGGGCCTCGAGACAGGGGACCTGAGGTCGCCCTGCTTCCCCCGGACGAGATGGGGGTGGCAGCAGCCAAGAGGTTTCCCGCGTCCCCAGGTTTGCCCAGTGAGTAACCAAGCATCTTGTTCTTTGGTTATTTTCCAGCCGACATCGATGACATAAAAATATGCTACGTGTTAAGAGAAGGGTCCAACGCCACCGGCGACGTGTTCCGCTTCACCGTGGAGGACGGTGGTAAGTGCCGCGCTCGCCTGTCGTCACAGACCCGCAGCGGGGCTCCCGCGGTCGCTCTGTGACGTGGCAAGGAACCGGGGTCAGGGCTGCTTCGTGGTCGCCTGGTTGAGACAAGGAAAACTCGGGGGTTGCTTTGGACAAGCTTCCGCGCTTGCTCTGACGCTCTGCTACGCGGCAGCAATTTTAGGCAGGTGTTCCAGTTATTTCTGTTTCATGACTCGCAAACACCAAAAAGAAGGACGTGTATAGATAGCACTCCCATGTCCGGTGGTTCAGCCAGCGAGTGCCCTGCATCACGCCGCCCGCTCAGGGTGACGAGAGGCCGCGGGCATCCCTGCCCGGCCCCACTCGCGAGCCACATGCCCCGGTGGCCCTGAAGGTGCGCCTGCTGGCGCCAGAGTGCGGTGCCTTCTCAGCCGGGCCCGGGTGCGGGGCGCCTAGTTCTGCGGGCACACGGGCCGCGCCCAGCGGGGGCCGGCCTGCGGGGACGGTGTGCCGGTCCCGTTCCTCTGCCGATTTCCTGAGCTGGGGGGACTTTGTGACTCCGTCTCCATACCGTGTTCCTGGGGGAGGCGGAAGGCTGCTGAGGGACGAGGGCGGGGCCTGTGGCCTGAGTCTCCTGGGCAGGGTCCTTGTCCCCCACTGCCTCCACGCTGTCAGCTCTGCTTCCCGATAGCCCTGGAGACCAGGGGGAGGAGGGGCTGCGTCGCGGTTGAGCGTAAAGAGGTGCTTGTCCTCACGCGCTCGGAGGAGAAGCGGGAGCTCAGGAAGAACCTGTGTCGTGTGAGCAGAGCGCAGGAAGCGAGGGGACGCGTGTGAGAAAGGAGGGAGGGGGCGAAAAGAAACAGTTCGATGGACTCGTCCGTCTCCTTGTGATGCTTGGAAAATGGCACATGGTTGCCCCGGCCGGTGTGGCTCAGCGGGTTGGGCGTCGTCCGTGGACCAGAAGGTCTGGTTTGATGCCCGGGCAGGGCACGTGCCTGGGTTCGAGTCCATGACCGTGCGTGTGCAGGAGACGGCCGATCGAGCCTTCTCTCTCACATCCATGTTCCCCTCTCCCCCACTTCCTGTTTTTCTGAAAGCAGTGAAAAAAGCGCCCTTGGATGAGGATAAAAAGAAACAAGTAAGTGAATAGATAAAACAGCACACGACAGGGTCGTTACCCCCAAAGGACTGCGTGCCCAGCCTTCGCAGGCGTTGACACAGCCAGTAGCTCTTGTTTAAAGTGTCCCTCCCTGCGCTTACAGCCGAGGGTGTTGCATGCCGAGCGCATGGGGACGCGAAGACCCCGTTGAGGGCGAAGGAGCTCCCTCACGTCCGAAAAGGGGCGCTGACCTTGGGTCACGGCACCTGCCCAGGGTGGGACACAGGGCACGTATTCCACAAACATCAAGATGAGCGGAGAGACGGACGGGGAAGCATCCTAAGAAAAGCCCCCCCGCACAGAACTCCCAGCGCACTCTCTGCGTTCCTCCAGAACAGCCTCTCATCCTGGCATTAGCGTAAATCCCCGCGGCACCAGGAAAGGCTGTTAGCAGAGCTTTCACGCTCTCAACACATGGAATTAGCCGCTGCGAAAATCCCTTTGAAACCTCCTGCAAAGCGCGCTCACGGTTGAAGAGACGCGCGAACCACGCGTCCAAAGCGCGCGTTATTCCTAAAAAATTCTTTTCAGGAGAAAAACGTCACCAGTGTGGTCTATAAACTATTCTACCGTTCTCACATTTAAAGAGACACAAACATTTTCTCTAAGTCTCTGACATTTTAAGTGTTCTCAGCCTCCCCGTGTTTTCGCCCCGGGTGATGTGAGAGGACAGCGTCGTGCCAGGCAGGGAAGCAGGAAGCTCCATTGCCACCCGGCTTCCTGGGTCCTCGTTAATAAGCCATTTCGTGAATCTGGCCAAGTTTCTTGTTTGTTGGCTTGTTTTCAGTCTCAAGGCCCCGGCCTCAGACCCCAGGCCAGGGCCTGGGTCCAACAGGAGGGAAGGGGGGTGCGGGTCACGGAGGAGGAGGAGGAGGAGGAGGAGCACGGGGGACACCCGGTCGCTCGGGGGGCCCCGAGCCCGCGGTGTGAGACGTGCTGAGTGGGCCATTGAACGAACCTGCCCCTCAGCCGGACGTGCGGTGCTGCCCGCCAACTACGCCGTTGGGTGCCTGCCTTCCCCCCCGCCACCCGCCCCGGGCCCTTCCCTGGCGCACAGTGGAGCTGCACCGAGCGCCCTGACCTCCAGGGCGGAGCTGCCGCCTCGCTCCTGCAAACGAAACGTCAGTGACGGCCGAGGCTTTCGGGGCTCTATTCCGGATGTGCCCGTGGGATACTCAACACGAGAAAAGCTGGAGGCGCTTCGTCCCACGTAGAAGGAGCACATGTTTTTGCTGAAAGACGACCAGTGAGCTCAGGGTTTTAGGCAACGTCATTATGGACCATCAGCCTGGCGTTAAACCAGGGCAAGAAACTCTCAGTGCCCTACGCCGGACGGCAAGGCCCACGTACCGGCGTTGAGAGATGGCACAGACACGTCTGCGTGGAGGGGCGGGCGTTCCTGGCAGCAGAGCTGATTGCTAGCGGCATGAGCGCCAGGGAGAGACCCCAGCCCTTGGGAAGCTGTCACCAGACTGGGAGGCGACGCCGGCGCCGACACAGGCAGCTTTAATCTCTGGGAGAGCGAAGGCCTGCTGGGACCCGGCCAGGGGGAGGGGCCGGCCCGGACCTGCGTGTCTGCAAGCCCTCCTTTTCCCGCTGGGCGGGGCTGCGCGATGCAGCGAGGTCTTTCTGTGCCAGATCTCTGCCTTTTAAAAGAAATTTTAATTGGCTTTAATTTTAATTGACGTTTAGAGAGGAAGGCAGGGAAAGAGGGAGGGAGAGAAGCATCGGTTAGCTGTTCCACTCATTCATGGGTTGCTTCTCCCATGTGCCCTGACCAGGGATCGAACCCACAGCCTTGGCCTCTCAGGAGGGCGCTCCAACCACCGGAGCCACCGGGCCAGGCCATCAGATCCCTGCCTTTGAAAGCAGGACTCTGTCAGGTGCCTAGAGTCACTTCCACGAAAGAAGTTAACGCCTTTCAAATAGGAAAGTAAACTGAAGTTTATTAGCTATTCTTTAGGTCCATTTCAAAATGATGCAGCATGTAGATGTGCTGTTTTTATTGGCTTTTGCTCCGAAGAAACTTTTCTTTAATTGTTCAATCTTTCGATGAGTGTGAATTCTTATCGGTCACATTTCTAGAGGTTTCGCATGATTTTTTGTTTACATTCAAGACAAACGACAGCCACGTTGTAAAAACTAAGCAGACCCTTCAGAAGTCATTAAAATGTCATAGTCTCAAACGAAATATTTATTTGTGGTATGCCTTATATACTCAGTAATACCTTCTTCGAGGTTTTTAAGTTTGCTCTGGGTTGCTGGGAGAAATCGGAGTGGCACTGAATGGTCTAGTATGTAGTTGTAACTGGTATAATTCTGTATTTGCTGGAACCTCGGAGGATACAACAGAGAAGGCTCCGAGCTAACACTTGCTAAAAAGGGGTTTCCTCCTCTCTCATTGCTTGAATTACTCAACAAGCGTTGTTGGTGCACCCGCTCCCTGTGAGGCACCCGCTCTGTGTAAGGCATTGATCGGGGTCTGGAGAATTACGAGGCACATAATAGTCATGACCTTAGACCCGAGGGTGCGCTCAGCGCGGACGACAAACCGGCGTAGAACGCGGCCGGCGTACCTTGTGGAAAGTGTTACGAACGTTATCGTTAAATCCGAGACTGTCCTCGCTGCGAGGAAAGGCTGTGGAAGGTGGGGCCTGGGGCGAGCGGAGAGAAGCTGTGAAGGAGGGAGGAGGGGAAGCAGAGGGGGGCCCGGGCCTGGGAGGCTCCGGGGGCCCGAAGCTCCGTTCACAGAGCCGAGGGCAGCAGAGGAGGACTCGGCCGAAGGGAAAGGGAGACTCCCCAAATGATTGTAAAGCAAGGGATTCATGCCTTCCAACCTACGTTTCAAGAAGCGTCAGCAAGGGAGCCCTAGTTGGGGGCTCTGTTGGTTGGAGCGGCGTCCTGTGCTCCCGAAGGTCGTGGGTTCGGTTCCCGGTCAGGGCACGTGCCTGGGTTGCGCGTTCAGTCCCAAGTCATGGCCTGTAAGGGAGGAACCCGATCGATGTTTCTCCTCACCCCCCACCTCCTTTGTCTCTAAAATCAATGAAAAAAAAAAAAGTCTTCAGGTGAGGAATTTTTTCAGTTAGTGTGAATTTACTAAGATCATTCCTTTGCTAATGTTTCTGTCCCTAAGAAGAAAAAGAATTGATTGTCAAGGAACTGTATATAAGCAGTTTTTCAGTAAGGAAATAGCTCTCAGGTATTTTTAAAAACCGTGTACCTTCAGGCGGTTTCCATTTAGAAGTCTTACATTGCTAGGGCAGAAAATTCTAGACTAAATCATTCCGTTGTGGCTCAGTGCCCTTTAACGTGAGGTTCAGGTTGGCAAAGGGTATTAGTGTTCTTGACGCCACGGAATTCAAAGGAGAAGGCGAAGGCACAGTGATCAGAGTTACGTTCGGTTTTCCGTTTAAACGCTTCTGTGTTTCTCGGACGGGGCGTGGGCGCCAGCGTCCTTCCTGGTGTCTTTGGAAGGGAGTGGGCCCAGCTTGGCCTCCGTCTGGGAGAAGGTCCCCGCCCCTTCCTCCGGGCGGAAAGTTTTAATCCTTCCCCCTTGGTGATGCGCCCCTCTGCCCGCCCCCACCTTTAATTCCAGGCATTTAGCTGAGAGAGGCAGGAGCTGGGAACACTGTAAACAGTGTTTTCAAGTGCAGCCAGAGCCACTTCAGGAATTGAAGGTAAAGTGGTCGAACTGGTCCGCAGCCTGCCGAGACCCAGCAGGCGGAAAAGAGCCCTTTCGGGGGCGTCAGGTCTCCCTCGCGGACTCCATGCAGAAGTGGCCCCACCTGGAGGGCGCGGCTCCGTCGCTGCGGGACGGAGAAGGGCAGGCGGCCCTTAACCAGCCAGGAAACAGGCG